ACGTATTTACATACGACCCCTATCCATCCATCTATTGAGACTTTTCGTACATCAAAGTGAGGAAACAAACCAGGGAAACTTGACATTTTGCACTTGGTCAAGCAGGAATCGGGCGAAATTGTGGCAGGCGGACATCTGAAGGGGTTTGTGCAACTTATGGCGACATCGATAGGACAAATACCAAAAAAAAAAAAAGAAACTCAATCCCCTAAAAAGTAGTGGAGAAGGCGGGGCAAACCACTCGACAAGCTGTTGGCACACATAGAATGTTCTGAAAGCCCAAAGACACTCGAAAGTATGCTACAGTTGCCGGCAAATGTCTTCGCATACTAACACACACACTCACTCTCACACAAGCACACTTTTCGAATCGTTCCCATACTCCTCATTCTTTAGTCCGATCCAAAATCCACGGTCCCCAACCCATAAAAGTTCCCTGTCATTTATCTTCACCGTTTTTTCTGTTCTTTTTTTTTTTTTTTTTTTTTGTTTGCCGGGGTCTAACGAGAAATGTCGAGCAGCCCGAAGTTTGTTGCCTCGCTTTTTTATCTTTTACAATTAGAAACATTGTCCCTGGGTTTTCCATATATTTACAGAAAGAGAAAAAAGCACATACTACTATAAGAATATAGGAAAATAGTGAAGATAAATATATTAAAAGGATACAGTAAATGACATTTAAAGTTGATCCAAGTTGATTGATCCAAAGTTGATATGTAAAAAGGTTTATTTTTAAATATTTAATGGTATTTATTTTTGATATACAAAAGTCTCTGATTTTTTTTATATTAATTGAAAAATCTGAAAAAATATATATTTATTTTGTTTATTAGTGGAAAATACAGTAACCTTTCAATAATGAAAATCTCAAAAAATTTTTGTAAAATATTCTTAAAAATTTTGTTCCAGTAAATATATTTTAAATATTAAAAAATAAGTTCTTAAGTTGATTGAAAGAAGTACAAAATATTGTAAAAACATTTCTAAGTTTAAGCTTCTATTTTTTCCCAGTACATTTCTAGATATATATATGAGTTTTTTTGTGGGAGTTCCTCTTCCTGATTTGTTCGTCTTTTGGTCAGATAAATGCATTTTTGGCCAGCTTTCCCCTCGCTGTTAGCATGTGATTAAGGAAGGAAATTGTTTTGGACAACGCACAAAACAAATAACGCTCCTGGGGTTGTCCTGATTTTGGCGAAGGATGTGTTTTTTTTCGGTTCTTATCGCCTAAGTAGCATCATTTAACTGCTGTCTGTGGTCGGTTTTCCTTTTTCGCTTTTCCGCTTTTTTTATATTGTACCATTTGTTTTTCGAGGTTTCGTTTTCTGTGGGTCAGCATTGCCGGGAAATTGTAATTTGTCGTGATAAATGTTTGGCAATAATTGTTGGAACCAAAATTATTGTTGAAGGTGAAAATGTTTATTAGATATTTGTTGTAAATAAAATGTCGAATCAGAAAGTTATTCGGCTACTTAAAACTGGTATCCTAATTTATCTATTAACGTAGCCAAACAAAAAAGCGGAATAAGTCTGGTATCTAATAATTTTTCTTTTGATATTTTATTAAAATTCATTAAATAATGATTATGTTTCTAACTTATTTCTTTTTGGTTTCATGTTCTCTTTACTTGACTGGATTAGTTTTAACTAGATGCAAAATAGTTAATAATACTCACTTACTTACTTAAACCATAAGTTCTAAAGCATTTAGAATATATACTATTTTTTCTTGTACGAGGTGTGTTCAAAAAGTAAGGTGACTTTTCAAATTTCGCGGGCAACATATTTTCGATTATCGTTTTTTTTGTTTTGTTATATTGGTACACTCTTCCCTAACATCTGTACCAAGTTTCAATGGAACATCCTCTTTTGTTTGGTTGTGAGAGGCGTAAAGTTACAAGTTATTTTGCGAGCTCGGCGATTTTTTGCTTTTTTCGGTCTTGGCTCGTCTGGGCTCTTCCATTGGGACGATTGGGCTTTGGTTTCGATATCATAACCATATACCCATGATTCGTCACCAGTTATGACCCTTTTGAGTAAATCTGGGTCGTCGTTGACGTCATTCAACAGCTCTTGAGCGATGCTCATGCGACGGTTCTTTTGCTTAAAATTCAGCAATTTCGGAACAAACTTCGCTGACACACGACTCATACCCAAAACGTTTGAAAAAATTTCATGGCACGAGCCAAGCGATATACCGACATCTTCAGCAACTTCTCTGATAGTGATTCGACGATTTTCCAAAACAATTTTCGTCACTGCTTGAACGTTTTCATCAGTTGTTGACGTGCTTGGGCGTCCAGAGCGAGGCTGGTCATTGGCATCTTCCGGCCATCTTGGAAGAGTTTGTACCACTTGTACATTTTTTTACTCAGAACAGTTTCACCGTATGCCACTGTCAACATTTCAAGTGTTTCAGAGCACTTAATTTTCTTTTTTACACAAAATTTGATGCAAATCCTTTGATCCATATTTTTCGATAGCAAAAAATCGCCGAGCTCGCAAAACAACTTGTAACTTTACGCCTCTCACAACCAAACAAAGAGGATGTTCCATTGAAACTTGGTACAGATGTTAGGGAAGAGTGTACCAATATAACAAAACAAAAAAAACGATAATCGGAAATATGTTGCCCGCGAAATTTGAAAAGTCACCTTACTTTTTGAACACACCTCGTATATAACTATGTTATGAGTTAAGCTTCTGTTACATAAAAAGTGCTTAGAAATACTTACTTAATAAACATCAAAGCCTCACTTAAATATATCACTTTTATTGTTTTCACTCAAAACTCGCTTTGCATTTGATATCCTTAAGCTGTTGTCTATAAATTGTTTATCAAACAATAAAATCTGTCGTCGAATAACCACTAATTGGCATATGGATTTGTGGTCTCCTTGTGGTTTCACCAAAACAAACAGGTCGCCTTAGTAACTGCGTCCTGAAGAGATATAGAATCCTAACCCTTGAAATGGGTAGCTGCATCAGTGGATGAAGCTGTGAGGGAGGCAGACCCAAAACCTAGATAATTACATAATCAGGAACGTTAAAAAACGTTCATTGTCAGTCAGCCAGGGCAAACGGGTGAAGTGACATTTTGTGGTTAAGCAATTTCGTCCTTTTTTTTAACGATGATGGGGGAGAGTGTGGTGACTGCGCCTGGCAACGAACGCATAATTTATAATTGTCAAGGGAATGTCCGGCAAAGTAGCAGGGGGGTTGGGTGAACGCCAGTGCTGATTTATGGAATTTAATAAATTTTCACAGATTTTAATCGCTTGTAATTATACAGCAAAAGAAGCACTGCAGCAACAACAACAACAAAGAATGAATAAACAGAAAAAAAAGATATTGTACAAATTTCAATTAAAATTAAGAACGAAATCAGGTGAGGCGCAGGAGGTGGCGGGGGGGAATCCCCCTTATTTGATTGGTTTTTCCAGCATTCAATTCGTGTGTGTGTTTCACTGTCCGCATTTCCAATTCAATTTCCCAACCAAACATTTTCTTTTATTTTTATTTCATTACGCTGCTCATATATGTATATACAGTTGTGGTGAAAATGATAAGATAAGTTGGTTTACAGTAAATAATTTTGGAAAAATATAAATTTTATGATAAGCAATAGGAAAAAGGAAAGAGTTTCTTCTTATAAATTTTTAATTTTTATTTGATAAATAAATATTATATCAGAAACTTATGCAAGTATCTAGTTTTGTTTTCAATTTAAAAAATATTAAAGAAATATTATATTTTGTATGGCAAAATGATAACTTACTTTATTTTTTTAGAACTATTTTTTTCCCCCCCACTGTAGCCACATATTTTTCCCGGACTTTGAGGTCGCTTCTTGGTATTTGTTATTGTACTATATAGCATTATAGAGCCTCTCATATCCTTACCAATGGCAGTCGCAGATTGATTTTCCTCTTCACTCCGCTCCGTCGGCGATCTGAATTTTTTTTTCGTATTTCCTTGGAGACAAACTGGCCCGCCCACAGGACTCGAGTTTTTATCCAACTTCAAAGGACTTTCGGCCGCTGCTGAGCCTCAAGTGTCCTTGCAGTTTGTCCTGCCACGGCTTATGCGACATTTTCTTCTCTGTTTTTTTTTTTTTTCATTTTTGTAGCTTTTCTCGGGCTTCGGCTCTCTGATTTCATTTTTTTGTTTTCTTCTGCAAAAAAAAGAGTATGAGTGGGCCTCAAAATGATGGCCCAAAAACGATGAACAGTAAGCCCTCGAGAGGTGTGGCAGAGTCGGCACTTTTGCGGCTGCCACATATTAGATTTAGAATGGGGTGGAGGGCAAATTGGATGGAACATCCCTTATGAGGAAGCTGGATACTCAGTAATGTTCTAGTCATACGATTTTTAAGAAAAATTGGTGTGCTATTATATTATCATAATAAACTAGAGCAAGGGTGCTCAAATTCGTCTTACGGCAGAGAATTTACTCAAACAAATACATATATGAAAACGTGCACATATTACGCTGTTGGCTTGCAGGTGTGCACTGAAAGAAACAAAAACTATTTTTAAATTCCGTTGCGAAATAAACTCTAAAGTGCAAGCAGAAGTTACAAAGAATGAATTGCAGTGCAAGTTTTAGAGAATGATCCAGAAAAAACAAGAACAAAATATTTTACAGTTAGCGACAGAATGAGACAAAAAGAAGAAAACCAAGAATGTTAGTGGAATAGCAAGGAGTTCGAGGGTAAATAAAGAAGAAACAAGAACAAAATATATTACAGTTAGCGATGAACTGATGCGAAAAGAGGAAAGCCAAACACTGTTAGTGGAATAGCAATGAGATTGAAGATGATCGAGGAAGAAACAAGAACAAAATAAATTGCAGTTGGTGACGGATTGAGGAAAGAGGAACACGAAAAATCATGGAGCCCATATGGAGCGAGCATTTACAAAAATGAGGAATCATAGCATAGGCTTTAAGCATCTAGATTGTCTAAGTTTTTCCTACTTAATTTTATTATCCTACCTGCTTTGAATCTTACATCTAATATTTGTAATGCCAAAAAAAACTCTATTGCTATTTTGTATAAATATGTCCAAAATTCCTAGTTACGCTTAAAGACATAAGCTATTTAAGTTAAGAGTATCAATCGTAACCACTGTTAAACCGTACTATGGCGGATAATGAAAGTGGTATAACGCTTTGGAGATTCGTTGGATGCACCATGCTATATCTGGCTCTCTTCCTGCTGGTGGCCTTGCCGCAATGGATGATTATGTGCCTTTATGCGAAGGGTATCATGGCCTTTACGATCACCTGCTTTTTCATATCGTTCGGACTGCTCGTCATTATCCATATGGTCGAGGCACTGAAGTACGCGAGGCCATTTAACTTCATTGCCATAATCATTTGCTATGAATTGCTGACACTTGGAGCTGCCAGTTTTCTGCTCGAATGGAATCTAATATGTGCCATCATCATCATGTGCGTGGCTCTGCTGGCCCTTGTGATCGTACTGGTCATTAGTGTCTTTTTAATTTGGATTGGATTCTATGGCAACCCATTTAAGTTGGCAGTCGTGGGAGCCATGGGCTTTGTTCTGGCTTATTGTATTGAAGTTATGGATATTGTCCAGGGTTGGTATTTTTGGCAGGATGTGGCTGTTAGTGTCTTTATTGCCAGTGTGATAATTCTGCTGATATCCCATTTACTGATTACCTACGAAAACTTTGAGTTTCTGGTCAAAGATGATGCACTTCTCATCGCCACCGTACTGTATATCGGATATTTACTCATATTGATTGCTGGACGGATTTCTGCATTTTATATCTCTGAAAACGCTGCTTACTTTAATACCACAACCACTGAAGGTTATGATGATGTTGATGATGATGATGATGATGACGACAAGAAAAGAAAAATTACCGTGAAATCATTTGAATAATATTTTATCATAACCTTGTAGTAAAATTTTATATCTTACTGTACTTTCTTTGAGTTCTGTAGTGGTTGTTACTTCAAAACTGATACTAACTAGAGAAGCGTTGATGAAGATAAACATGATGATCAAACTTAAAAAGGTATATAAGGTGTTTGAGGATCATTAGTCCTAAGAAATTAGTTAGCAAGTCCAAAGTTATGAAAGCCTTAAGGGGAACAAGTCTTGGAGAAAATTACTTCGGAAAGTCTAAAACTTTTAATAGAGTCTGCTTTCTCATACGATATACGATGTCTGATATTTTGACGTGCTGGCATTTATCTTAAAACATTATTGTTCAGATTTCTTACAACTCTATGACTCATTTTCAGATCTGTGATTGATGAGTAGCCTCAATCACGTTCTTTATTCAATGATGATACGTGACTTGATGTTCGACCTTAAATTACAAGCTCTGGGGAAGTAGGCACTTTGTGATTTTCTGTATATATCTTTTAAGAAGCAATTAAATTTAAAGAAAAGTTAATCTTTCTCTAACATTTAATCAAAAACTGCTAAATCAAAACCAATTAAAAAATCGCTTTAAATCGCTGAACATAAAACAGATTTTCATGAAGCGCAAAAAACGCAGAATTATGGAACGTGGTCACTTTGGTCGGCCATAAATTAAACTAGAAATGTATTTGGCAATTTCGAATGGCTGACCAAAGTTGTAGGGTGGACCAGATTCTGATCAAGAGAAAGAGCGAGAAAGAGTGAGAGGGGGGAAATATAGAGGAAGAGATGCCGGCAATTGAAATTGTCGTCATTTCTGTTGTTATTGCTCTGTTTTTCTGGCTCGCAGCGGATGCAATTCCTACAAAATGATAATTTATGATAATGATGCTTCCGTTATGGGTAGCACAAAACTGGACACACACACAGGACATTGGACATTGGACATTGGACATTGGACATTGGGCACTGTGTGTGTGTGTCGTCTGCTGTGCTGCATAAAAATCAGCCAGTGAGATATGGCGCAAAAATTTGCCAGTTTCAATTCATTTCACGGGTCGGGCCTCGCATATTTATTGATAATTTCCGTGAATTTTGCAGCAGTCAAGCGAAAGCGGAAGTTATGCCATTTGCTGCATGCCCGCCTCGCCTCGCCAAAAGAGGACAATAAATAGTTGTGGTGGGCGTGCCAGTGTGGGTGGGTGGGTGTGTTTTGACAACTCTCGGGGTATCCCCCAAAAATCAAACTGCCTATCGATAGCATAGAGTTTCCTTGTTGTTTATTCTCTCTCTCTCTCTCTCTCTCTCATCCAAGGAGAAGCCGAGATGGCCCCTTTCTCATCTGAACGGCGATTGTTTTGACTGTGCCCCTGAGTATTTATGGGTTACGCTCGAACGGCAACACAATGGTCGGTGGCATCAACAACGTTGACAGTGGGCTAGCCCATTGTCTGCGATTATCAATAAGCATTAGCCAAACAATGAGGATGCTCAGTGTCAGTGGCTCCCCCCCTTGTTTCGGTGAACATTCTAATGACCTTGAAAATTAGTTCCTGCATAAAATCTCACACACCCACCGCTCGCTCACTGTTCACCCACACCCACACCCATTGACCATAATAAGTTCTTAATTATTGTTTATTATTTATCGCCAATTGCATATTAATTGCCCCGCCGCGTATGACAAAAATTCCATTTTAATTTGCAATTACAAACATATGGTAGGTCGGCCAGCAGCACTGACAATATGCTCGAAATCAGCTCATGGCTGATGCACTGCATCCGCTTTTGGTCAACGGCAGGAAGATCCATTAAGGCCATAAGTTCACTGAGCCGAAGCCGCATATTATAATGGGATGAAAATGGTTTATAACTTTTATATGAACTTTAATCTGGAAAGTAATTAAAATTTAACTTTAAAACTTACTAACTTAGCATCTAAGGTGACCATATCTTACCAACTTGTTTCTTTAAGCCCCCCTGATGACAGCCAACTTTTGGCAATCAAACTACGAAAGGGAAAATTTTCATAACTGCATTGAGCTGAGCTGCTCATTTGCAAGAATTTAAAGTGCACTTGCCAGTTGCATATGAATATGAAAATAGTTTTCCTTATCTGGCCAAAGTCTGGCTCTGACTCCAGCAAAATACGATGGCAAATGGAGCTAAAAGTTATGGACGAACCGAAGAGTTCCATTTCCTCGATTCGTGAAAAACTTTCGCTGGAATAATGCGAGTCGCAGAGAGCAAAGTGTTTGGCATAAAGTTATGCGCCAGCCAAACAACAATAAAATAATATAATTTTTTTGTTTGCCAACTCTCAATTGGGTTTTGGATGGTGATGCTGGGAGGGATCCCTACCCTATTATTATTATTTTTTTTGGGGGGAGGTATTTCACAACTGCTAGTTCGACGCTGGGCCATAAAGTTTTCAAGGAATATCGAAAGTTTGCTCGCATCTCGCGTTCGGCGTTCGGCAAAAAGCCGCTTCGAGCTGCGCGAGAGACACACAAAGGCTACAAAACTTATAACGAGAAAACTTTGCCACTTGGCAAATGCGCGATAAAGAAACAAACGGAACAGCACTGAGCTCCCAGCTCCCAGTTTCCAGGTCCAAGGAGAGATGAGATGAGATGAGCAGCCAAACTAGGAGCGAAGAAGATGCCGTCGTCTTGATACCAATGTCAGAGCTAACTTGGCCAAAAGAATTTTAAGAAGGCAGCTTATTCCCAACGCTGGCGAACTCAGAGTTCCGTATCCATGGAGACCTATGAAACCGCAGTTTACAGGCCAAAATATTTCGTCTTAGCTGGTTTAAAGTTTTGGAATGAGCTTTTTAAGTAATTTAGTAATAAAGTTGGAAAAATAATTAGAATTTTAATACAAGCATTTTAATAAGTAAAATAATACAAAGTTATTAAAAACTTTTATTAGGATTAACTGGGTTTTTGTAATGAAAACTATGTAATATTTTTTTGAATAGTTTTCTGCCTAAATTAATACTAAATCTTATTGTTAAGCTGTCTTTTAGGCGTTAAATATAAATAGAGATTATGAAAAAAAAAATATAATTAAATTCTGACAATGAAAACGGAATTTCAAGTTTAAATATAATAAAATTCAAGCTTACTAAAAACTTGTTAAAATATTAAATCTCAAAAAAATTCCAATTTCCCTATCAAAACCACAGATTACAGGGTATTTCTGAAGCAGCGATTGGATAAAAACTTGCTGAACCTCAGCCCACAGTTGCCGCCGGCTGGCTAAATATAAAACTTCGACAGAAGCTGAGTTTTCCCGCTGACAATGGCAAAGCGGGTGGGAAAAACTCAAGAAAACTCATTCGCGCATTTTAACTAACTAGCAGGGTGAGCCAGCCAGTAAGCGCGCAAAAGGAAAAACTGGCAAAAATTATTATTTACGCACGGATGGTGTCATCTAATTACGAATTCATTTTCATTTTCTATGCCGGCATACAGCAAACCCACAACAACTGAGCCCGGCGTTTTGACTTTCCTTGGGCTTTTCCTTTTGGCCAGGTCTAAGAAATTAAGAAAACGCGACCGCACTCGGACAATGCACCTGCAGTCAGTCCTCGGCAAGCAGCTACCCGATCACCATTCTACCTGGGACACTTTTAATGCCATATTTTCCATAAGATTTTCTTCTTTATTTTTTCTTTTTGGCCAGGCCCCGCCATGATAAAAAGTTTGCTGCACGCAGCATTTTCAGCATTTTGCATTCTGCAATTTTTGCTGCGCCCAAGTTGCATTTTAGCCCAGACCAGGGGGGACTCTTCCAAAAAGCAAATTTCATGCTCTTTGAAAACTTGTTAAAGTATGATAACCACAATGCAGGCCACGCCCCCTTCCGCCGCCGCCGCCTTCTTCCATCAACATGCATTCCAAGCCAAAGAATCGCCGCAAATAATAATAAGCAAGTTGAATTCCAGAGCCAGGGACTCGTTAACTCGCCTCCAAAAGTTAAGAAATGCATAAAATTTGTTAACAAGCTAGAAAAAAAATATATATAAGCGGCCAAGAATAATGGTCTGTTCGTACTGTTATCCGAGGGTGGCCAGCACCTACAACAAGGCAGCCATTTTCTTAGAGGAAATAGTTAACAAGCGAGAAATTTCCATTCTGATACCCTTGCTAAGGGGTAGAAGTTATGGAGAGAGCTTTGATTTTTGTGGAAAATTTAGTTTATATTCTTAAAAAAATAGAATTTTATATTATCACTTATGGGTTATACAAAAATATAGCTAAAAATAACAAACAAACTTTTAAATCTCTCCTTGAAATGAAAAATATTTTAAAAACGATTTTAAATGATTTCCTCAATTCTTGAACATTAAGATATTGTTCTTAATCAGACTCATTGAAAAATATTTAAGTTTTTCTTATTTTTGGCTAGAAATATATCAGCAATTTTATAATAATTTCGACATACCTAAGGCAGAGCTTAAACTTTCGAAAGAGTATTCAGATTTGGTATGCAAACTGCAGACTTTTTCATGTTTTTAGGTATTATTAAGGCTTGCATAACTAGGGAATAGGCTTTGTTTGGCCTAAACATCAGGCATTTTGTTAAACTATGAAAAATCAGGAAAAAGTTTCCTTAATGAGATCTCGAAGAAACCAACTGTAAAGGAGGAGGCATTTCTAGTAAATGCCAGACGACTATTTGTAATTAGAGTTAGAGATTTAATTTAGGCCAAAAAAGCTTTGGCAGGCCAAGATATATATGCATATAATATATTATTGCCATAAAACTAAAAACATTCAGCAATAAAAAAACATCATTTTAAATTGCATTTCAATTGCTTTTTTTGTGTTTGTTTTTTTCACTCAGCTTTTATGGCCGCTCGCATATTTTGCGGTTTCAGTATTTTTCCTGCCACTTATTTGACCGCTAATTACATTTTAATGTAAATTAATGAATCCGCGCACTTAACTTGGCCGCATTGAGAGACCCCTTACCAACTTTTGAGGTTCGGCCTGTCAACTTGT